GGAAGAAGGACAGCTGACTAGAGTGTAAAAGTAAGTACAGTGAAAAATACGTTGATGTATGGATCTTTTTAGCGCGTGATGCGCGGACGACGTAGTTTGGGAAGGCGTCAAAAACTAAGTGGAACAGCGATGAGTATGAACTCCGATACGACGAGAAGGTAATGAAAATTGTAACTTTAAATTTATACCCTCCCCCCCCTCCCTCCTCTCTCTTCCTCTCTGTATCAGCCGCCTTTGAAGAGATTTACTTAACAAAAAGATGATTAGTCATGGAAGATAATGAGCCTGTGCGATGGTGAATGCCAGGAATCGAGACGAGGCTTTGCCGTAGGATCGCGCAAGCAGGTAACTTCGCTTTTTTACCAATCCTCACCTACGCCACAGGAGGAAAAGTTTCCACCTTTTCGACTAAGGAGTCTGTTGACTGTTACTAAAGCAGACTTACCACAACAGAAAGTAAATAAATTAATTACATCCTACATGAAATATGTGCCGGAAATAAAACTGCCACAGTGCAAAATGAACAAAAAACCGGAAATAGGAACGATGGGAAAGGTACTAAAAGGTGGAAATAATGCGATGATCTATGTTATTACAGTGCAGGCTCTACAGTACTACAAAAGAACTCTGTTAGGATAATGCCGGGTTTGCGACAGTTGCAATGTTCCTGCTTAGCGCCACGATTCGTGTTTTAAAAAAATTGCTAGTCTCTCATTAACTGGGTATTTTGTGTACTCAAATCTCTGTGGCAATGCACCGTATTTGCACTTTACTGGCCAATCACTGTGTTTCACTGGACTAATCTTTTGTAAACCGGTACGTTTTTGTGATAATTACTTCGAAGCACAAGTATTTATTAGCATTTCTGATCTGCGCCCAGTGTTCGGCCTCAGTCTCATCAAAGCTCCGCTAGATCATCGAATATGCTGACAATTATCATGTAAAATTTTTGTTTTTTTTGACTACAATTAACAAATGATATTAGCTGCAGCTCGTAGCATGGTCCTCCAGTTATCCGGCTGGTAACTTTTCTGCTTGCTTTGACCAGTGGTGTTTTGCTTAGGGGTCAGTCTGCTGGCAAGTCTCCGAATGTGAAGACGTGCTGCTCGATCTCTTTCCAGTCCGTATTACTGGCAAAATAGGCTAGTGTGGGTATTAGCTAAAGGTTTGCAAGTCAGATTGAAGGGCCTAGCGTAGTTGTGGCAGGTGTTTTGGGTTATCCCACCAACATCATTACCGTCCCCCACTAGTTGCCCGATCAGTCTTGGTGCTCTTGAAATTAATAATTGAGTTAATTGCTAATGTATCAGAAAAAAATGGTCATAATCAAAGCCAT